GGTTTAGTGTTTGTTACAGGAAGCAGACAGCAAGCATGCTCAACACACTTAAACTTAAGTAGTTAAGTTTCTGCTATTCAAATCCATTTTCAATATGATTTTAGCTCCTCTTAATTACAGTAGGTGTTTAAAAAAGAATATGATTTTTCCCTTTTGATTTTACCATTTTGCATGGATAGAATACAGTCGCTTAAGAAATAACAGCTTCCCTATTCAACAGACTACTTTTCTAGGATCAGCATCACATTCACAGTCATAATTTTTCCTAATCCAGATTTTTTGTCATAATAACAACAAGAGTTAGGCCTCGATCAACCTTTATAAAAGATACGGGCCATTCAGTCAAATGTTAACAGGCAAAAGTAGCTGAGCCAAGAATCAGACAATGATAAAATGCAGAAGAAATATTGAGCCCATATTATTGCATATATGCCATACAATATGCAACTGCAGTGAAGATGCATGTTGGGAATATTTCAGTATTTGGTCTCATAAAAATTATTTAATGCATTTTATTTTGTTGATTCTTTTTTGCCAAGATCTACATCAAGAGCATTTTTGCCCAACATCATGCAGGTACTTATCTAAAGCATTCAGAGGTACAACAAGGGTAACATCAGGCAATACTAGAATCTGCACCTTGTTGCATGTCCTGCCCATATCTCAGTATCACAACTGGCATTGCACAGATTATCAGGATTAACAGCATATCAGCATTAACTCTCACCATACCTACCTCAAGCTAGCTTTGTCATAATAACAACAAGAGTTAGGCCTTGATCATCTTTTCTAAAAGATACAGGCCATTCATTTTATTATTTCCACTCAAAACCTCACTCATTTTGACCAGCTAAACATAAAGATGCTGGCAAGATGTTAAATAGAATAAAACTTACATGTTTCTAAATTGCTCTGGCATTTTGTCTATGCTCTAAAAGCCTAATCAGGACTCGCATTACCAAATCACTTAAAAATCCATTATAGCGCCCATCAATGTAAAATTATCCAACACAGAAAAAAAACCACAACAAAATGGCATGACGATAAAAACAAAACAACAATAAAGAGGAATACTTTATAAGCAAACTCCCCCTTTATTTTCCAAGAGTAAAAACAGGAATTATGGTCACACTTTTTATACTTAACCAAACCCACCAACATATTACGTTTTCTATAGCTTTTCTGTACATCAGGAAAGATTACTGGAATATGCAAGCTGGTTATATTTAGGTCCCATTATGACATTTGTGTTACAAATCTGGTTGCTAATTAATAACACTATAAGCTGTTAATGCAGTTTAAAAATGGAACCATTTTTGTCATCTTTGCTCTGCTGGTTGAAGTGAGATTTTCAATTCGAGACAAGTCTGCACACGCGTTTACATGTAGGAAACAGTTTTATTACTTCGGAAACAGTCTCTAGGGTTTGCGAGGTAAGTTTAAGTTTATAACAGAATAACACAGATTTGCCGAAAGATTTATTGCTCGAGCGTGAAAGTCAGAAAGCATGAGTGTCACGCTGGATGCAGGAGAGCTGCCAACCCTGGTAACCAAGTCCTGACGTTTACACTGTTTCACATACCTTAAGGAGCCCTGCTGATAAACTGCAGACCATCCCAACAGCCATGCAGAGAAAGACTTCCATTCATCACAGAACTAGCCTTTATTTGGGAAGCGACATTAGGAGTTTGGTATTCTTGCCAGCTAATCCAGCAAAGCTCTTATCAGACTGAAAGAGAAACAGATTAGACTCAAGACAAACCACTTCCTCCATATATTATCATGAGATTACACCGGTTCACCAATCACAAGGATACACACACGGAGAATCATCATGACATACAATATAGCCATAGACAAAGATAATTATTATTACTGTATTACCATTAATATTGATTCCTTATGATTACACTGAAGCACAGAGCCACGCCTTGCTCAAAGGCAAATGGCAAAAGTGGAATGTCGGCACAGCCTTGAAATCCACCTGTTTATTTCCAGGCTTCTGTTAGTTCATTTAGATAAAAATAAAATAAAACTGAAGTATTTAAGTTGTGTTTTTTTCACGTTAAAGACTTCGGGGTGGTACGTGGCTGTGTCCTTAAGGTTGCTAGTTTGAATCCCATTGTCACAGAGTAATCATATCACTGTTGGAGGCATGGAAAAATTCCTATATACCTATACAAATGGCTAATAAAGGCATCATTATTAATTTACTTCACTACACACTTAAGCATGAGTGAAACACAGGAAAGTAGGAATGAGCGATTCGGGGAAAATATCTAATCACGATTATCTGACAAATATTGTGATTATGATTTGATTTGCGATATAATTTCTATATGTCAAACTTCAATAACAGATGTAAACATGACATGACACTACCACAGGAGATACCATCACAGTAATAACTGGTCTATATTCTGATGCAAGGACAAGGTTGATGTGAATTGCTTCCTACATGTACCAATTATTTTTTTAAATTAACAATCAAACATGGGAAAACAACTATGAGAAAACATTATATGTGTCACTTTCTGAAATAATAAGACCATCCAAACCCTAATGTAATAGCGATTAATGTGATCAGTTCTTTTGAGGATGGGCTAAACGCAATCTATCGAAACCAATACTTAAATCAATGAGAACTGAAGTATATGACATAAATACAACCGTATTATGGGTTTTGCGTCTTTCTGGGGGTGACAGCGGCTCTGCTGCTGTGAGAATCACTGAGTCTCCCATTGTCTTCTTGATGGGTGAGCAGTATGCTAATGATAACGGCCCTTGAACAAAGATGAAAGGTTTGATACGCAGAAGTCCGTGCTGCTGGCAGTTTAAGGAGGTCGCGGGTGAACTCTGACCATGAAATAAGTAGGTAATTCATTTATAGCTCAGCAGCAGTATCAATATTTTTTCACACCGCAAATGTAAACCTTTTCCTCGGGTTTCAGGTGTTTGTTGTTAGTGGGCGTGTCTACAGTCGCACTGGGCCATTCCTAATTGGTGAGAATGACTGTCACTCAAGGAGGATGGAATGAATTTGTAAAACTATGCTCATGACAGTTTTAAGCCTTGGCTCAGACATGCTGTATAATGTATATCCCATATCGCAGCCATGGCGATTTGCGGATCGCAAAGTTTCAAATCACGATTTCGATTTGAAATCGATAAATCAATCAGCCCTGCAGGAAAGTCTTACATAAAGACAATGTCACACTGAAATAATAAACACCTTTAAGACCTGCCACTGTACTGAACTCGTCAACATTCCCATACGGCATAGAGGTGGTTAAACGGCTTCAGAGAGAGCAAACGACTTTGGGAATCCTGGTATGCTGGAGATGGCTTTCGAGGTCGTCACGGGGAAGCAGAAGCCAGCGACCCTACAGATTTATAATGCGGCAAACACAGAAAAAGATGCTGTTTGTATGCCTGTCTAACAGTCTTGTCCAGAAGCGCACCATGTAGGAACATCGCCTACAGCCATGTGGTTTCGGGGTCCTAAAGACCCTGCCATCCTCTGTCACCCACCTCCTGTCCTTCAAAACTAGTGGAATGTTAATCTCAGACACAAAGCAGCTTCCATCCTAAAGTACCTCATAGATATGGCAACCCAAAACAGGAAACTCCTCACTGCTGAGCCTCTTGTACCATTTCGCCGCCTTTATCCTCTCCGGACAAGCCAATTTTTTTTTAGTTGCATAAACATAAACAAATTTGAAAGATAATTGAAGGAATCTATTTGTAAACATGTATAAAATATCCAGCATTTCATTTGGAAACTTCTGAGAATAGGGTAAGCTTCCAGGCGCTGAACATATATCAGAAATAGCCATTAAAGCCTTTCATCTTGGCTTAAACCCCGCGCATTATGCAGAGAATCTTCATCTCACCCTGTGGATTTGTCTTGCTACTGTGATTTGAGCCTGAATACTAGTTTTCAGATTTGCATTAAATTCTAAATCTGGAGATTTCTTTTTTTTTTTTTTTTTTTTTTTAAATTTCGGCAGGAAATAAAAAAAAAAAAATCCAAAAATACGCTTAACGTTAATGACAGTTTTAGCCTACAGATAGATTAACCCTCAACCCTGAGCAGAGGCTATAATGCAGGGAGCCGAGAAACCGAGTGATCGTAAATTAAGGTGGAGAAGCAGACAACCGGAGAGATGTCTCCATTCAGAGGGGCTGATGTATGCAGAAGCTGGCAGTGCGGGTGAGGGGGGCAGGTGCCATCGGCCCCCAACAAATCCCAACAAGCCCCGAATGGTTCTTCCGCCTCAGGTGTTTTACCCACCGCGGCTGAATTTTCCAAAAACCTTCATAGTGCCACGATCATCATATCTTCAGAGAGAGAGATTGCAATACCCTCATAGCACACAAACATACTGTACACAAGTTACGTCTAAACAGTGCTATACTCAATTCATTTGCTATTTGGCAAGACATCTACAGGTATGTGAGGTCACATGTGTTAAGCAACTTTAAAAACATCACAGGAAGATCACAAACAAGTCGTAATTACTACAGATCCAAAACTGACCACGCATAGACATCTTACCAATTAGCAAACAACGTGAGTATTACATTGTTTGGGTGTCACTTGTGTACATCGGGCAGACGCTGGCCAGACGTACGTGTACTATGTGGGTACGATGACAGATGTGGTCCCTGGGTTATGCCCGATATCATCCAATCCTAGCAACGCTCCTCATGATGCGGAAGCCTGCACCATCTCCCCTTCTCCGCCGAGACCACAGAGGTTAAGCGTTCCTGATTTTCTCTTCTCGACGTGGTCACGGAAATCATTTTGCACCCCTTTTTAAAGAAGGTTACGGTGCCATTTTTAAAAGTCTGACCGTTCAATTATGCTCACGTCTCTGCGGCTGCTTAAAAGCCCCACAGCAGAATAAATAGACCGCCGTTTCTAGGGGACAGGAAAAAAAGAAGAAAAAAAAAGACTTAAAAAAAGGTCACCGTGATAGAAAAGAGTATAAACTCACCGGCCTCGGCTCTCCACTTCCCCGAAGCAGCCCGAGATTTGGATCCTGGTTCCCCGCGTCTACCGGACCTCACATCTGTCTCTGTGGGGGGGGGGGGGGGGGGGGACAGAGACATCGTGAGAGGCATCCAGCCCAGAGAAAGTAGTGGTGCCCTGTGCTCATCTAAACATAATGAGTCAGTCTCACTTACATTTACAGAGGAATTTTTGGCATGAGCAAGTATACAGCTTTATGCAGTCTCAGTTTCCCGTTAACTGAAGTCCTTGTTATAATACAAGTGAACTGAGGGCCCCAGTTCAATTAAAAAATATGTAATTTATAGGTATATGAAGCATTTTGTATGCATTTTAAACTCATTGAAATGAATTTTGTTTCTTCTTCATTAATCTCTCCACTGGCAGCACTGTGAGTGTCGCTGCTGTTTCACACCTTCAGGGTCGAGGGTTTGAACCCCCCCTCTGCTCGGCGTGTGTGGAAGTCAGCGTGTCGTGCAGGACTTTTCACAAAGCACACCAGCCTCCTTCCACTGCCCAAAGATACGGGCTAATTGCGGCCCCTGAATTGCCCGCAGAGTGTGCATGCGCAAAAGCCTTGCAAGAGACCAGCATCCCATCCAATGTGCACCCCGCCTTGTGCCCTGTGCTGCGATTTGCTCCAGAACCCCCCCCGAGCCCCTTACCAGGGTGATGTTATTAATAAGCAGAAGATGAACGAATGGACAAAATATCCATTCCAGGATTCTTAAGATTAGAAAACGTTGAGTACAGCAGAGTGAGAGGAGCTAATTCAGCATTTCAAAGGCCTCCTAAATAATAATCCCAAAGACGCGGTTCCTTAGAGAACGGGCTGAGCGCAAGCTGTTCTGACCCGTCAAGCGGCAACAACAGCTGACATATCTGATTGGCTTCATGGAGTGGAAGGACAGTTGATGGAGCTGCATTCAGCACAAAAAGAGCAGAGACAAGGCAGGCGTGGGGGGAGGAACGGGACTGTCTTTACACACTGTGCCCCCGAACCGCCATGGCGCAGTCAGATATCACATGAGAAACATTACTCAAATACAGGCGTTTGTGAGAGGTCTGCTGGACAAACACGTTCGCAGACTCATTTTGCATTTCAATATGTCCATCTATTTAATTGGACTTGCAGGAGAAGGTGACAGATGTTTCTTCCTTGCAGTTTTCACGCTGCAGAGGGATTTAACATCCCTGAAAGCTGATGGCAACTGTGACCAGGGCCTAGTCAGGACTGGTGGCAGCAGGTGTTCCCAGTACCAGCCGCTCCGTGCTCCGAGGGACCTCTGCCCTCTCGCTATACCCGCCACCTGTCCCTCTGTCCCCGGCCCTGCCAGGCACAGAACTCCCGGTGCTGCCAAGAGTCTGCGTGACTTCTCCGTTTCATCCATTCGATGCCCCTAAGTGAAAAACGCGAACCAACCGACTCCTGGTCCTAGGCCACACCTGCTGGATTTACGCTCTTCATTTATTTATCTCTTTGTACGGCGAGCAAAAGCGCAAGAGAGGACGAGGCGCGGCTCCAACATACCAGCAGATGCACCGGAAAATAGAGAAGAGATTGGGCTAATTTACGAAACGCAGTTCAGGTTTTGTCGAGGAGACGTGGTTGGGCCTGTGGGTGGGCGTGGCCAGGCGTCCGTGTGCGTGGGCGACATCGGCACCATATGCTCTCCAGTTCCACAGCACGCCGGTGACATGAACCGGAAAACAAAAGGTCAGGCGACACAGGTGAGCCGACGCGAGCCAACCGACGCGAGCCAACCGACGCAGGCCGCACGACGACCATTAAAATCGTATTAAAACCTGGCGACCATTGAAAAACTTGGAAGGCCCCCACATTAAATGCTGGCCGCAGTTGAACAGAAGAAGCTCGTTTCCCACAGGCTGTTATGAGTTTCTGGGAGTCTGATTCATTCACATCGCTCATTTTTATCCATCTCCTCGGCAAAAGAGCTGCTCACGGTGCACTGAGGATGTATGGAACCGAAATACCACACTGTTATTTGGAAGAGGGCAGCTTTGTAATGTATTAAGCTGAATCTTTTTGTTTTATAAGGAGTGGAAAGGGGATTAGAGAAAGGTACGTTCTGCTGAGTGACATCCCAGTCTTTACAGGCTCGCTAAGCCAGAGGCGGCCATTTCAGGTCCAGAAAGTAAAAATCCAAACCAGGATTTTGTTTCAATAAACCAGTTGAGTATTCTGTGATTGTGATTGGTTGGTTGAAACAAAATCCTGGTTTGGATTTTTGCTTTCTGGACCTGAATTGTCCACCTCTGTCGCTAGCCCTTTCCACACATTCGGCACAGGGTATAGTAGCATCACTACAGCTGAACCAAACCGGAGAACTAGACTAAAACAGGCAGAAATAAGTAAATAAGCGACCACGGGGCCCAGAGATAAGGGTTTCACTGCCCTGCAGAAATCCCATATTCCTCTTGTACCCAAACCCCATGTTGCCATCAGAACAGCATGAGCAGGCCAGACTGGGACTGCTGGGGTCCAAAGGAACAGGAAGCGGAGTGTATCGAACCGTACAACCCAGGAGTATTACCTGCGGTTATGCTCGGTAAATGGGAAACGTTCGGAAAATGTCACCGCGCCGATGACATTCCCCTGGCCGCGCGCCAAGCTCGGGGTAAACAAGGACTAGCATATAAAGCAGTCCCTGCATGGCACTGCTGTGCTCAGAAGTGACGGGCAAAGAAGCAGCGCTGAAGGAAGAGGGACCCCAACCACATCCAATAACCAGCCTTATTTGCACAGTTCTAGTAGGATCTAGCAGTGGGGGGGTGGGGTGGGGTGGGGGGGGCTATTAGGACCATTCTCTCAATGCAAAAAGCATCCTAAGACCTTATCTAAAATATATTATTATATTATATTACATTATATCATATTATATCATATTACAGTATATAAACTCCAAAGCCAGCTGAAAGCTAAACCTTTTGCCCAGGGTACTTGGGCAAAGTTGTTACAAAGGTGCACATATAAGGAACGTGTGAACTCCCAGGATTACACAGAAACTGTTTGCCAAAGTGCAGTAAAGCCCTAAAAGCTGTGAATCAGAGGTTGTGGAGCAAACGAGCAGCATTAAATCAATACTCTCTGATTGACTAGCTGCAAAACAAGGCTGCAGAATGCCCTGAAACTGAAGGAGGGCTCTCAGAAAGCCTCTGTTTTCGGGTTTCCCTGCCTATAGTGCCTAAAGAGGAAGAGGCTCGGTGCGTCAGCTGGGTGTGACCCATGCGGTATTTGCTCCTGTCCCCCAGGCTTCGTTCAGAGAGGCCCCTCCAACTCCTCTGCAGTCGTGCACCTGTGGGTGCAGCATGTCACGTTATAGCACCAGGTAGAGCTCGCTGACCTGCGGCAACCCAAAGCAGGGATGTAGACAGGAGGCGGAGCCACAGGGGCACTGGGCCCAACTGAAAGAAGACTGATTGGCTCACAGAGTGCCCTCTACCCTGTCACTCATTCAAAACCATATCAATGGCTAATGATAATGCTGGCCTCTCTGTGTGACTTACGGCCCCTCTTATACTCCCCAGAATTGACCCTGTCCCCAGGTGCATGGTCTGTTTATCGGTAGGGCTGTCACATGACAAACCTGAAGCAAACAAGGGTTACCTAAACGAGCACAGATCACACACACACACACACACACACACACACACACACAGACAGACATATACACAGATATATACACACTGCATAGACTTGATAAACACCTGTGTATATGCGTACTACACAAGCTGTACGTTACCACATTACAAGCATTGCACAGACTTTATACACTCCTAAAAAGGCTACAGACATTTTGCTCATGCACACACAGGCAGACACACACACAGATTCAGTGTCAGTTGCACGACTTCACCCATAAACTGTGAGCCCAGCCCAAGATCTACAACAGAGAGCAGACATCAGACCTGAAAACCAGAATCTGCTGCACAGACTGCACGATCCATATCCCAACCACCATCATGTCACTATAAATTATGTATTTAGGGGCTGAAACTGCAGTCTATACCTTACCTCCCCTGGTAATGATGTATATTCCCACACCCAGAACCACACGAATCCACATTAATTCAGTAACAGTTGAAATAATCGCGGAGATGCTCCCTGCAGACTGGCTTTGGAAGTCTGTCCCACCCACCAGCCATTCATAGATCTAGTATGTGCTTGGTTAACTCGGCACGCCGCGGCAGGAAACCCCAGAAAAGCAACCTAGCGAAATAAAACACAACGGTGAGGAGAACGTGATCTGTGACTGTGAGCCCACGCATCCACGACCACAGTAGGAAAATGTTGGGTTTTGTGCCGGCCGCATCATGCATATAGCGCCGCGGGTCCACGCAGACGAGGCCCGGTGCCCCAGGGGAGTCTGGGAAAGCTGGCGCCGAGCCAAGGCCCTCCGTTCCTCCTGCTGTCAGCTCTGGCAGCTCCGCGACACTCGCACTGCAGGGCCGAGCAGCTCGAATGAATTTCGCTGGTGAAAAAGGGCGTCCTGAGATCTTCTAGGTCCCCCCGGGCCACTCAGGATGCCCCACCCCTCCTGCCCCCACCATAAGGCAGCCACATCCCCAGATTCCCACCCTCCCCATAAGGCAGCCTCCTCCCAGTGCCACTCTGCCCCCCTCAGGGTAGCTGTTTGCTTCTTCCTAAATCCTCTGCCTCCGAAGGCACTGCCGTTGGGCCCGCGGCCGCCAGCATCGCTGGCACTGCCTCCTTCGGGGCTCAGCCTGTCATCGGCCGTCACCGGCAGCTTCCTGACTCGCGGCGCCGAGCGTGGAGACGCCGCACAGTCCTTGAAAGAAGCCAACGCCGCTGTGCGATCCCGGCACGCCGGCCAAAACAGCTTCTCCGTCAGGAAGCAGTGTTTGTCCCCAGGCGTGCAAGGAACACAAAAGGGAGAATCGCAAGTGCCGGGCGTGTTGGATTCAGCAGACAGCATGCTTTACGCTCCCGGACCTTAGCTTGGAAATTAAATATCACATCAGTCATGAAATGAAAGCAAAAAAAAAAGGCTCATAGTTTTTGAAGAGGCTAATCTAGCCCTTAGT